AACAAAAARAATCCCACAAATAAATAATAATTATTTAACATGAGCAGGGGTCCATTCCAGAGAGTGGTGAGGTTTTYCTTAATTATTTTGGGATTATTTGGGTGGACGGGGAGGGGATGCTCATGGCGCTGGGCCCCGGCAGCCCAGGGGAAAACACGGCAGATCCGCATTTATAATTTTTTTTATCTGTTTTCTTTCATTTTCCTTTTTATTCGGACATTGCAGAAATAGCCCTGTGTAGTGGATAAAAGTGCAACATACACAATATTTAAGAAAAGGAGGAAAGAAAAACCTGCCTTGAGGTCTGTCAGTCAATCGCAAACAGAAACAAGAACCAAGCCCAGGCGCCAGAGGCGCTTTTTGTTCCCCCCCATTTTTTTTTCCCCTTTTTTTTTATGCACGTCATGCAAAATAGTTAAAAAGAAAGATTAGAAAAGAGAAGTCAGAGAAAACCCCACGAGAGATCGACCGAGCCCTAGAAAGAGCAGAAAGCTCCGAGTGCTGCTCGTCTCGGGGAGGGAATCGCTGCCCTCCAGCATTTCCAAGTGTTTGGCACTCTTGTGATTACATTAAATAATTTCTTTTATATATATATTTTAATACAGTCTATTAAAGAGAGGAAACGGCCACAATATAAGAAAAAAAAACCAAAAAAAACCAAGATCACTCACACTACAGACTGCATGGTAGTTAGAAAAGCTGAGCATCCCCCCCACCCCCCCGTACATATAAAATCTGTCCCTTTGCTCACAGCAACCAAGAAGTACAAGCATTAAAAAATAAACCAGCAATTCTTCCTCCAGGCCTTTCCTTTATAAAAGTTTTGGTTTTCCCCCTCGAGAACCTTAAAACGTGACTAAAATTAAATATATATATCTATTTTATATAATTTCCCAACATCCAAAGACATCAACATTAAAAAAAAAAAAAAAAGAAAACCTCATAGGGAAGGGGATAGCGTGGTACATCCAAGTGCACGGATTCATTTTTGCAAGATTAAATAATGTAAACAAGGTGCCCGCTGGGAACAGCCCTGGCCGGGGGGAGACCCCAGGGGCTGTTCCCCCCCACCATTTCCCGCTGCTCCCTTTCCTCTTACCCCCCGATCTAGCGCGGCACAAGGTTCATCAGCCCGACAAAAGCGATCCCGAGTCATTCGGAGCCGCGGCGTGACTCGTGCGTCCGTCCCTCGGGTTGTGGGGGGGTTGAAGCGAGTGACTATTTTCCCGATTATAGCTATACATTTTTTAATTTACTATGATTTTTTAATTGACGGCTGGGCTCTGGCTCGCTCGCCGCCCTCCCCTCCGCGCGTCTCCGGAGGGCAGGACGTGCCGCGGTGCCGTGGGACTGCAGGCGGGCGCGGACGGCGTTCCCGGGGCTCCGCCGGTTCGCTGCGGTGCTGGGGGGTTATTTTTTGCCGATCACCTGTGCCATTGTAAACCGACCCACCCCGGGCTTCAGCTCAGCGTCCCCAGGGAGGCTTTAAACACCGGGAGGGGCCTTTTCGGAGAGGTTTTGCAGCACATCGTCAATTCTATCATCTTCAATRACCACTGGAAAGCAGAAAGAAACAGAACCGCGATGAATTTGCTGCCGCCGTGCTCCCCTCGCCCAAGGTCACCTCGGGGGGAGGGGKGGTTTGGAGGGGTCCCGCACCCCTGGTGTGGCTGCTGGCAAAGCCACACGGTGCCCGACACCCTTCAGGGCACCGGGGCCACCGTGTCCCGTCCCCAGGGAGGGTCCCCAGTATCSCACTCCCCGGCACTGGTGCMSYGTSCCTGGGGAWACCCGGCACGGGGAATGTCCCCRAGGAGGGTCCCCTCACCTCTGCGCCCAGGGCATGGCCCCAGGGAACGATGCCCCGTCCCTGAGGAAGGTCCCTGCTGCCCTGTACCCCGGTGAAGTGCCCAGGGCACCGTGTCCTGTCCCCAGGGGAGGTCCGTGCTACCCAACACCCTGGGGACAGTCCTTGGGACGTGCTGCCTGACATCCTGCAGGGAGTCTGAGACACCATGCCCCGTCCCCGGGGATGCTTCCCGGTGCCCTGCACCCCCGAAAGGTGCTCGATGCCCCATCCTGGGGAAGATCCCCGGAATACCATGCCCAACATGCCTCAGGCAGCCCGGCGCACCATAGCCTGTCCCTGAGGACGGTCCCCAGTGCCCCGCATCCCTGGAGAAGGTCCTCGGGACACGATGCCCGACATCCCTCAGAGAGCCCGGTCATCACGCCCCGTCCCTCGGGATGGTCCCCGGTGTCGGGAAGTTCCCCGGTACACGATGCCCGATACCCCGCGGGACACCCGCTGCATCCCGCCCCRTCCCTGGGGCCGTGCCCCGCATCCCGGGCAGCTCCCGGTGCGCCCCGCTCCCTCCGGCACCCACCTCTCTTGCTGCGGCCGATCTGCCCCAGCTTGGGCGGCCGCTTGCCCTGCCCGCCGGCCAGGAGCCCGTCGCCGCCGCGCAGGCGAACGGGGAAGGGCAGCTGCCCCACGGCCGCGTCCCCCGCCAGCTGCCCCTCGCCGTAGGGCGGCCCCTCCGACATGGGGGCGGCGGGGGGGGACCCGCCGCCGCCGCCGCCCCCCGACAGCCTCCCGGG